GGGGGGGGGGAATTCACTGCATTTTTTCCTATCTCTAGTACATATCGAATATTTAAACTGCCCAAATTGCTACAAACAAGATTAAATACAATAATGTTCAAATAGGGTCTCAAAAGAGTGTTATGAAGTTTGGACTCATAAGGAAGCTTACAATCTCATAACAGGTCCAACTGATGCCATGGTACAGAATCAACTGATGTTCTTGCACATAGGAAACGAATTCCTTGTCATTATGGAATTAAAATGTTCATCATCATCATCATCATCATCACAAAAGCCCATCGCCAGACCCCATCCTAAGCAACTTCAATCCGTGTTGGATTTGAACACTCATAGTGATGACTATGCATGGTTCTGGGATGTGACACTGTGTACTAATGCAAAAGTTCACTGACACAAGGAAGAACATACTGCATCCATCTTCAGGATTGAAGAGTAAGCCCAGCAACCAGGAAGCAAAGATTTCATCCTTGGCTTGCGCTTTGACATTGAAGATGTGGTGGTATGATCCTCCAAAATTTTGGTGAACTTCTACCGAGCTACACAGCATCACTTCCCAGAAGGCAGTACTGTTCAAGCTAATGTAAGTTCATGTTTTTGCAAAATGCTTTTCTAGGTTTTATTTTAATACTACCACTAACATCTATGAAGAGATCTTTGAAGTTAACTTTCTCATATTATCATCCAATGTACTAACCAAAGGACGGTACAGGTACCCCACCATGCCACATTCAAAAGCGGCTAATGCCCTATACAAGCGGTCCTTCTAGTCTCGTTGGCTTAATAGGCGGCAGGGGTAGGTGGGAAGGCCGTAATCTGCACATTCATCGTAAACGAAATAAAAACAACAAACTCCGTGGCTTTAGCCCGCAAGCCAACTATACCGACCGAGAGACCGCCGCTTGTCGGCGAACATCGTTAACGAAATACAGGAGAAAATCTTAAAAAGCCGAAAGCGACGTTTCTCAGGGTGTGAAACCATTTAGACGAAATTACATTTATGATAAGAAAATTAAGAGCTGTATATACTGTCTTATGCATATTTCCGGCACGCTGAAACACGGTCACAACTTAACCTACAATCAGACACACATTTTTGTAATGTTCAATATAATTGAGGTTATGAACTAAATTGGTTGATTTTTCTGCGGGAGAGGGGACAGTTATCACACTGAGATATGGTCATAATCTAACCTACAGTCAGACACACATTTTCCTTGCTGGTTGATATAGCTGAGGTTATGATATCAATTGAATCGTTTATTATCACTATGTGGAAAAACAACATTCTCATCCTTTAACAACGTTACTATAATACATAACAAAACTCTTAAATATTGTAACTAACCTCCAACAGCAACAGCCATCTTAGCTATATCCTTCGTGTTAAATCGGCGACCGTCGTTAATATGAACTATGAACCAATCCCACTGTACTATGGGCCCCGATTTCCAGAGTGCTAATGGCGGATGTGTATGTCAATATAGTTTTGTTTACTACAAAATATCACAAATATTTTACCACGATCATCAGTCTGGTGCGTCTTTAGAGGTAGATGAAGGTGCGTGTTGTTGTTACTATGTGCAGTTATCTTCATTAGCAATGTTGGTGCTCAAAATACAGCAAATAAACGGAATGAAAGATTCCCTGAAGAGAAGGGGCTACAAGGGGGTGACATGAGAAGTAGCCATCTGTCCTCAATAAAATTTATGTTTGTTCTCACTTTAGTAAAGTTTCATGATAAAAAAATGAACCATTAATCATTTAAGGTTATTTAATTCGAAGGGAATGACCTTGTTCATTCATCTAAAAGAGGATCTACACATTTCGTGTTAAGCCTATGCTTTTGTAGTAGGTAGATTCGCCCGAAGCCAATAGAATGTAGTGAGGGTGGAAAATTTTTGTTCAAAATTAAGCGTAACACATGGTGAGTAGAACGTAAATATGAATTTACATACCAAAGAATGTGTTTTTACTCTTAAGGAAAGGTTTAGCATTTACAGATTACAAGTGTTTGTTTTCCTTGCCTCCACAAATGTTCCCCATTTCTTTTCTTTAAAAATTTTCATTGGGTAGGTAAGTTTAACATCCACACACCATCGTGTTGTACTTAAGATTAATTGATATTCATTCATTCTGACATACTGTGAGCATTTAATATTGAATGCTGCACTTGTTATGACATAGGCACATGGCTTGTGTTTATTTAAGAATCTGGTTTACTTAACGTGGAAGTTGTATCTGAAGTTAATCTGTGAAAGCAAGTTTGATATGCTGATATATAAGCTGTGGGTTTTATCTAGGACTGCATTCTTTTAAGGATTATAAAATTTAGATCAGAATTACTTCTTGATGGTGAAGCTTTGATAAAGAGGCATTGCTTAGAACTCATAAACCGAATCATGTTTAAGGTCCCTATAATGGGTTTGGTCAATATATACATTTGCTATTTATGACGTAGAAATCGATGCTTATTGCAGTGTATTAGCTACATAAAAATGTTCTACTTTGAAGCATTTTGTCTTCTGGGATATAGTACTATGCAGCCTGGAGAAATTTAGCCAGCATTTTGGAGGAACATTTTACCTCCATCCTTAGGGTCAAAGTCAGCAGGCAGAGTGCGCTTCATGCTGGTTTATTGCTTGGTTTACTCTTCAACCCTGAAGATGGAGGCGGTATGTTCCTGACATACACTGGTTGGCTTTCATCAGACAACATGGCATTTTACCCCAGGAGACAGAACTTGTCATAGTCACTGCTGTGAGAACCTCAAATCCAACATTTTTTTTTTACTTTGGTCATAATTATTTATGACTTATAGAGTGATTTGTTAGGTGTAAATATAACCCTTTTCAGACAGTCACATGAAGAGAAAATCACAACAGATACTTTTTGAGAACTACTAACATTCACAAATGGATTTAATAAATTACAGTACTGTATTTTTCATTTTAATATTGCACTTTACTTGTGGCCATCCAATTAGCGTTGATGTCAAGAATATGTGGATGTCCATATCTACTACCCTATATATCTTCATGACATAATGCTTAATCAGTTAAGGACAGGAACAACTTTATCTTTACCTTTACTGTACTAGTAGGAGTTTGTGAGCATTCTTTGGTTCTAGCATCTCTTACAGTATGAAAATATGTGCCTGAGAATTAAGTTACCAACAAAGATTTTGAGAAAAATTTAATATATCATGGTTTCCATCATTATAGTCATTTTTCAGTGGTTCCACAAATTAATGACAAATGAGAACTGGTACTCTACATATTCTAACTTTAAGCATTGAATGAATGTGTTCATTTTCCAATAGTATACATACTATACATGTATACATACATAGTATACATAAATTTTCAATTTATGAAGGTGCTTACTGTTTGGTAAATTATTCTTGTGAAGAATTATCATGTCAGAGTGGGTTCCTGGTTCATCCAGGTTTTGTTTCTAAAACCATTATTCTATGTTTTTCTCTTCAGCTACTGGTAGCTGGAGTCTCACTTATGGTTTAAACCTTCCCTTGTGAATACTTATATCTGTTGTACAATATTACTGCTGTAAAATCGTGCTGATAATTACTGAGCATCTGTACAGAAGTGATTTTCCAGTTTTCATCTCTGTTGTGTGCTGATGGTTAGTATAATATCTCAACTACTGACTTTGCTACATTGTTTTACAACAGTTTTCCTCAAAATACCTTCGCATATAGGAGCTTAGCTGGTATAAAATATATTACATATTTATTAGCATCAAATGGCACCTACTATCTGTCATTGCATCTGTATACGATGGGGTACCCAAAAGAAACCGAACTAATTTTTTTGTGGGCAGAACTTTTGTAGTACCGCGTTTTGCCGCTATGAGCGCATAGAGCTAACATTCCTGAGTCGATAAGCCGACTACCGTTGCTTCAGAAGGTAAGGACTAGTTTCGGCAGAGTTTATAGTGACAACTGTTTTGTGTGATCGTCGTTTTT